AAAGAATTATCCACCTAAGGATATACAGACAGACACCAGTAACGCATTCCATACATGAACATCATTCTTCCTTTTGGAATAACTCCACACAAAAAGGAAGATAGCTTAAATTTGAGACTACCTTGGTTTTTGAAGAGAGAGAGAAAGATGACTCTTGATTGAATGACAGTTTGCTTTTAAGGTCTGCTTTCCTTTGGGTTTTAGATATTATGTCTTGAACAGTGTCTGTCCAGTGATAGTTGAATTGAGCAACAGTCCTCCAGTACTCATTATCTGTTCCTATGAAGCAGTGAAAAAGACAGAAGCATTTAACTATTTGTGACTTTGAAGTAGACAAGAGAGACATCCATAAGAAGTGTAAGGAATGGAATGGAATCTTTTAGGAAGCAGAATTAAATGCCTTGAAACCCATTCCCAAACTCAGAGATATGCATCTGATTTTTTTTCCCCTGATTTAACTGTTAGAATGTGTGAGTAAAGGCACAAAATTTTGATAATTGTGTTGTCTTTTGGAAATTGTTTCAAAATGAAAAAAAAATCAGAAGAGTAAAGAAATTTCATTTTATTCTGAGAATTTGAAATAGAAATGGGCTCTATTTTCTGCCTTACGTACCTTGCTTTTTTGTTTTTGAGTATGGGCAAGTGTATCTAGCCCTTTTTTATGTCTCTGTTTCCTCATCTACAAGTTGGGGATAATAACAATTATCTCATAGAGTTGTTGGGAATGTCACGAGGTAACAAACTTGCAGTAAACTGTCAATAAAAGCTTGAAGAAATATAAAGAACTGTATAAAAAGAATGAGATATTGTCATTAATCGGTGTGATTAACAATAAACAGTGTTTTCTCCAGTGGTTTGTAGTAAATGTGTGCAGATTCTTCAAGTATGAATCAACTAATTAATACAGTGCATTCTAGCACACTTGTATCTTAATGTGTAATTATTTTAAGAAATTCTAAAGCCAACTTGGCTAATGTTTTTTGGACTTTGGTTAGACATATCATTTTGGATAAGTCACACAATTACTTTTACAGATGGCTTTTCACTAGTAATTCTATAATACACTTTCATCTAACTTATTTTTGGACTATGCTTTTTTCTGTGTCATGTGTTTAAGGGTAAAATCTGCAATTTCTAGAGTCTTGGGTTGTGCTTACAATCATTCTTTCAGAATATAAGAGCCCAGATATATTATTTTATATTCAGTCTTAATTCCTGTTATGTTGACTACATTTAAAAAATCTGATTAGCCAAATTCTAATATTTTGTATAGTTTGAATGTATTTTAGCACTTACCAATATTAATTTTCATTACATTGAGGTACTTAATTTAGATACATTTTGTCATAGAAAATTATATTTAAGGGGTAGTTGTATGTGTTTGGTTTTACTTTTGGTCTTTTAGTTCCAGCGTGTTGTCCTTTTTGGTTTTGTTTTATTGCTTTTTTCTTTAATTTTGCTTACCAGAGCCAAAGCCTTAGTAGAAGAGCAACGCCTTTTGTTCCTAGGGTTCAGGTAAAGGCCTTGTCTGCCTGATAGAAACTAAAGTTGTGTTTTAACCCTTACTTGTATGTTTTTGGAAAATGCATAGTAGGAAAACTTTTTTTGGTATGTTGCTCCAAACCATATTATTTGACTTTCAAATCATTTTATGAGCCAGCTTGTAAAATTCTGCATGGGGATTAGAATACTGAATAAAAATTTAAAGAGACAATCTTTGTTAGTAATTGCGTATGGTGAACTAAATACTAAAACTTATAGGTTTCAAAATGGCATTTAACGTAGATTTAATGTAGATTCCACTTATACATGTAACAATTACAGAAATAGTTAATTTAATACCGTTGATATTTTACTTTATTATACTAAGGTGGCTGTCTCTTTAAATCATTCATTATATCACTTAACATCTACATTCTCTTGCATTTTCCAAGCAATACATCCTTGAGGAGATTGGCAAATAAATTTGTACCTTATTTAAAATATGAATTCTATGCATATTATAATAAGCTTTGACTTCTGGACAGTGTATTCTCTCAAAAGAACAAAATTACAATCCAAATAAAATGTTGTGTTTATTTTGTTTATATTTTGCCATTGTAATTTCATTTAATTTTACTGTAATACTTGGGTACAAGTTGTTTGCCTCTTTCCATTAGGAAACCCTTATATGGTAAAGTAATGTTAATATAATTTTTTAAAAAGTAATATTATGCTTTCCTTGCTTTGCTGCATGTTTTAAAAAAATATTTGTTGGTTTTGAATATTACCTATTTTTTAAAAAATTTAAAAATTAAAGTTATTCTGGTTAATATTATACAATATAAAATATTTACCTGTGCTGCTCAGGTTCTACTTAGAAAAATTAAAAATGGTTACATGATAAAGCTAGAATGATAGTTATATAAAAACAATTAAAATGGTACCAAGATTTTTATTAATGAAATTGAGTTAGAACAAGAAATATGAAGGACTAGAATTAAGGATGCATTTGTTACATTTGGGGGAATCAACAGCTGTACTTTACCATTTGTTTTAAAAGCACAGATAAGAAATTTAGAAATGTGATATAAAAAAATCTATCTAATGAAATGACTATTTTTATGACATGAACTGGATATCTATTAAAAACTTCAATGCAAGTTCTGTGATTTAAGGGAAATTAGGGGTATTAATCAAACACCTTGTTAAGGCAGTTTATTAAAAAGTGTTATTTTGACCAAATGATCAGTAAAATAAAATGTGTCTGTTTTATATCTAAATTATTTTAATATTCTTATACTTCTAAAGCATAATTTAATAAAGTATAAAAATATTATTGCAAAAATATTAAAGACATGCCTAATATTTGTTCATATAAGAAATGAATAATATTAGTAAGTGATAGTTTTTGTTTTTCCACGACATAAGGAAATCTGAAAAGAATACTCTTTATCAGGCTTTTGAAATATATATATCTCAAATGTTTAGCTCTAATGAATTTAATGGAGCAAAAATATTGCCTATGCAGATGGCAACAAAGTGCTTAGTCTCAAACCCTCAAAATATTGTCACAGAAATCAATAATTTGCTCCAATAATTTTAAGCTTAGCCTGATGATAATAATTATTGTTTCTTAAATGTGAAGTTTATTGGAAAAATTATTTAGCTTTTCAGAGTCTTTTCCTCTTTGTGGTGCCTAATTCATGTCATAATCTTTAGAGAAGGATTTTTAATATCTTGGAAAAAATAAAGCCATAAACTCTTTTATTACTGATGAAAGTGGAGAATATCGTAGAAATTAATCTGGTCTTGGTTACACATTTTAGAGGATCTATGATTCTATCTATAACATCTCTTTCATTCCATATACAATGAGACACTCCTACATTTTTCTTTTTTTGTTTTCCTTTCATGTCTTTTGCCAGAAGGATAGTTTGCTCTCTTTTTCTCTCTCTCTTTATCTGTATCTATGTTCTAATAATGTTAGGCAAGCAAATATTTGAGCTTTTTTCCTTTCGAATATTTGAGACTTCTTTCTACAGATTACTTATCCCTTAGTCTAAAGCAGTGGTTCTCAAACTTTAATACACATGAAAATCACTTGGATGTCTTGTTAAAATTCAAATTCCAGGACCTCATTCTGATTCAGTAAGTGAGAGGTGGGCCCCAGGGATTTTATACTTTTAATGAAGAAACCAGATAATACTGATGCAGGAGATTTCTTAACCACAGTTTGAGAAACACTTGTCTAGGGTCTATTTTTCTACTTAGCAGCTCTATTAGAAAACATTTTATTATAATAGTACAATAATACCCTTTACTAAACAAAAACACTTCACACAGCATAAATATTAGTAATCACAATTTTTAAAATTTGTATATTTCTTATTCTTATTCCTATAAGTGGGTTAATAATTTCATTCGGGGAAAAAAATGGATAGAAATAATTTTATATACTCTTTTGGGCTGTCACTCCACCCCTTCTGACTCAAGAATTGCTCAGTTTCTCGTTCTCTAGGATATGAAGTGAGGGACTCAACAAAGACATGTTGAAATTGGAGCTGAACTGCCAGTGTTTTATGTATAACAAGAATTTATTTTTACCTGTTATTCACAAGTTCCAAATTTTGGGTTCCTTTCAGTTTCTAGGTAGTGTTCAGAAATGTGCAGAGTTCTGAACCAAGATGTGGATCAGAGCCATAGTTATCATAGATCCCAACATAGTAGAAAAAATAGCTAAGTGTGAAGGTATGAGCTATGGGTGTGGGAGGTAATAACTGTTAAATCAAGTTAATTCAGCAGCTGGATGTGAAGTTCCAATTCCTAATTATGGCACAGGGAAATTATCCACATTTTCTTAACTCAAATAATAAAATGTACTTTTATTATTCTAAGGATATGATTCATTTGCTTCACAAAAGAAAAAGAGACTTTATGCCTGTATAAGAAAAATTTTAAAAGATGAATTTATTATAGTGTTAAGTACATATAGAAGAACTCTATTGGCTAAAGCAGCTAGTAAATCTCCTGTGCCTATATAATCTTTGAAATGTCTTTTGCTATGGAATAGCATCAAAAATTTACTGAATTTAATGAATGCCATATAAACAATTTATTATCTACTCAATTCATTTTGAGCACTTATTCTGAACTCAGTATTGTAGGGGAACCAAAATGAACTACAGTGATTCTTGCATAAGAAAAGATACAAAGCAATCATTGTATGTAAAGTTCTTAATTATGATCGTATAATTATTATGTGCATGTTAAGGAGCAATCACATTAGGAAAATAAAAAGCCCAGTGATTTATCAATGAAACTGAAATATCTGAATCATTCTTCTATTCATTGAAGTTATTATAGTATATCCTTTTATTTTAACTAATCGCAATTTTCTAAGTAAAATTTATACTCTGTGCTAATATAAGTGTAAGAGATTGGGGTGAAGATTGGAAATATAAACATTATGATTTGACAGTAAATGCTTGACCTAATAAATGAATATTTTTGCTTTTCAGATCAAACTATGGTTTGACAAGGTTGGTCACCAATTAATAGTTACAATTTTGGGAGCAAAGGATCTTCCTTCTAGGGAAGATGGGAGGCCAAGGAACCCTTATGTTAAAATTTACTTTCTTCCAGACAGAAGGTAAGGATATGAAACAAAAATAAATGTTCTTGAAAATAAAGTGGGAGGATGTTAACAGCAATGGGTGTTTCAATTTGGTGGTTTCTTTTCTTTTCTTTCTTTTTTTTTTTTTTGGCAGCTGATTGTTATAGGGATCCAAACCCTTGACCCTGGCATTGTAACACTGTGCTCTAACCAACTGACCTAATGGGCCAGCCCCAAGTGATTCAATTCTGTATCACTTATTTTTCTGTATCATACCAGTCAGATACTCATGAATTTTAACAGAGACATAATGATTCTTAGGATTCAAATAGTGACAATAAATATTTGAGATTATTTTAAAACATATTAAATGCTTATTTTATATATTATTTTACTGAATATTTATTTTAGGCATGTGTGGATTATTTCTTAAATAATATGTTTTCATTTATCAAAATCATTAAAAATTATGCCGCTTAAAATGAATTTTTTTTTCCCGACTGGTAAGGGGATTGCAACCCTCGACATGGTGTGGTCCACACCACACTCAGCCAGCGAGTGCACCGGCTAGCCCTATATAGGATCCGAACCCATGGCCTCGGTGCTACCAGCACCACACTCTCCTGAGTGAGCCACAGGGCTGGCCCTTAAAATGAAAATTTTTTTTTTTTCCTTTTTGTCTTTTTTACTGACCAGTAACGGGATCGCAACCCTCAGTGTCGCACCCGTACCAGGGACCGGCAACAGGATCGCAACCCTTGGTGTTGCACCCGCACCGTGCTCAGCCTATGAGCGGGAACTGGTCTCCACATGGGATCCGAACCCTCAGCGGGAGCGCCGCCACACTCCCAAGCAGCGCACTCTCCAGTGTGCCACTGGGCTGGCCCTTAAAATGAAATTTTTAACACAAACTACAAATTCAAAAATCTGGAAATGGTACTAAAAATTATTAATCATATTCCTCTACAATTTTTACCTCCTTTTACAAGGATATTACTTCTCTCTATTCTATAAAATAACAAGTGTGTTTTATATTTCATCACCCCATATCATCAAGAAAACTTTACCACTGGGCCTGGAATCAGCTTCTTCAAGCATTATTTGTTTTGTATCTATTCTAATCAACATAAACGGTGTTGTTTTATCCTGATTAAAATAGAGGAATTAGGATTGGAGAAATATCACAAATAATCTAATCACTTTTAATGTCAAGCATATAAAAATAAGAGATTATTCAATAGGCATCATGACAAAATAAGAAAGTAATGGCACCAATTACTCTTTCTCCAGCAGTCTGTATCCCTGCCTTCCAACGCAGAGTGCTTTCAGGCCTGGTCATTTTTTCGCAGGTTGGAAGTGATCAAGCACAGATGTGATCTTAAACATGTTTACACACTTTTGGACTGTCATTTACTTAGTTACTTAGTACAAGTAGAAAGTCATCAGGGTTAAGTTGGGTGCCAAGGTATCATCTGAACAATCATCTCAGCAAAGAAAAGAATAAAAGAAAGGAAATAGACAATTAACAAAAGCCTTATATTTTGTTTGACACATATTTTGAAGTGAAAGTTGTGAAACAGATTCTTCAACATGTCAAGGTGCCACAACATCTAAAGTTATTAACTGTTTGCCATATAATTTTATCTTATGAAGTTTGCATGGAGAGAATTATTCTCTAACAACTTAGGTTGTCTTTTGGAGAGAGATACATGTGAGCTGTAAGAAAGGAAAAGGACATCTATATTTAGAGCTGTTAAACAAAGTCTAAACTTCAGGTGAATGACAGATATCACAGCTAAATTACCTACCATTCTGACAGTCAAGTCACTTGGCTTCTTACAGCACACGTGGTTTTACTAGTTCAAGCATCCTTGGAATGCCATGTAAAAACCTACAGGAAATGCTGGATTCCCAGTTATGCTTATGCACATAGGTGACTTAAGCTTCTACTTACTCAAAGCTTTGAAGAGAAACACTTATCTTTTAAGATGATGAAAGTCTCTCAAATTACTGAATTTCTTTCTTGATTGGCTATTGTTGTTTAGTTTTATTTTATTTTACATAGCCTCTGTCCGTGCTTTCTAAGCAGATAGAATTAAAATGGAAGGGAGGCTCTCCTTAACCAATCCTTTATATTCCATATATAGTTTGTTTATGTTTTTTCAACACCAAAGATTGAGAAACCTTTGAATATTTTCTTCTCAGATTATGTCTCAGCTGAGTTCCTTGTCAATTATCAGGAGTTTGAAGAATATGTAGGTAAATTTTGTAGCTTACTTTGTTGTTTGGGTTGTGTCAGGGTTTTATCTCTATTATGAAAAGAATTCTCTGCTTAAGTAAGAAAGTTAAATTATCATATCAACAAATTATTTATCTGTTTCTGCTGTTGACACAGTTTTTACACATGAATAAAGGACTATTTGTGCTTTTAGTATGAATTTTTTCATTCTCATGGCAATTTTTCTGTGAGAAGTACTTGAACAGGAAAATCTAGAAAACGATTGTTGCCTTTTTATTGAGATGGCTTCCTGGAGGGGTAGATGAGGCTACATATAAGAGATCTAGTCTAGAATGTAAGTTAAGCCATTTGGAAAATTATTTTCTAGAAAATATACTCTAAAAAGTAACAGGGCATGCTACACACTCTTTTTTGTACCTTAAAGTTGGTTACCAGTTAAAATATATTTCTTTTTTTGTTTATTGTTTTGAATAAAAACATCAAGTCTTTGCATGCTGTTAATATGTTAAATGAAAACCAAAAGTACCAGTAACATGAAAATAAATTTTACTTAAAAAACAAAGTTAACTACATTGACTACAATTTAATTATGCTTTTAGATACCAGTTATTTATTTTAGACGATTTAAAAAATATCTCTATAACATGCTTATTGATCTTAGTTTTTAAATAGTCTTTGCATCTTTTCAGTGTGTGACGTACAGCATGATCTGATTCTGAAGGCTTTGGTTGTCTTACCAGAGATAAAAGTCCTGTCAGGCTCAGTTCTTTCTTAAGTTAACGAAAAATCAGAAACTCAAATCAGCAGCAATAGTAAAGCTTTAAGGAGTATAGGAAATACAGGAAGGAAGAAACACTTCAAGAGAGAAGTGGGCCATTCCCTCAAGCAGTGAATGGCACTTAAATGCAAGTTCATAGCTGTTTTATTCTACTAATTTTGCATATGCATTTGTTAGCTTGATTGACAACTTTGGTTGACATTTGGGGTTATATAACCTCTTTTCTAATGCACATGTCCTCACCTATAACTCAGTCTGTTATAACGGTATGTATTTATGGATTACATATATATAATCATTAATGAGCATTAGCACGTTCAAAGTTTACTTAAGATCTTAGAATTTTCCCTTCTGCGCATGTCTCTCCATCTGGAAAGTCCCTGGCGAGCCCTGTGGTTAGATTGTGGAGTCTTTCTTCCATTATGTTATCTACAAAGAGGTGGGTATGGCTTGAGTATGAGTGGTCAGTTTTCCATACCCCCCACCTGCTCATGACTACGTACCTACCTAAGAGTTATACTTCTAGAAAAAAAAAATCATTTATTTTTAAACTTGCTGAAGATAAGGATATTTTTCATGCTTCTTTTTATGAATTTTGTGTGTGGGTACATAGTAAATTGCCTTGTTAAATTGTGATTGTATATGTTGGGTTTGTAAGGAACTTCAGAGATTATCTAGTCCTCCTCCTACTCAACACAGAAATTCTTTCTAAAATAGTTGTTCTTTGTCTGACAACTTTTTTCAGTCCTTAAGAGGAAGTTCATGGTTTATTCTTCTATTCCTTTTCAGATTTCCGTAGAGACCATTTTTGAATTAGACAACAAGGTTCCTGTTAAAGACCTTCTTAACCTCTGTGGAAGGAACTTTTATCTTTTGACAGGGTCTCAGAATTCATTCTTTCATTGATGGAATATAAGTAGATACTTAATAAATATTTGTTAAAATTTTATAAGAGAGGGAGGGAGAGAAAGAAATCATAAATCACAGTGCTCGTTATTATTCCTGTTAATTAGTTGGTTATTCCTATATACATTCTCACTTCTTTTTGACATATGGAGATAAAATCTCCTACATGGATCTGCAAAGTTATTGTCATACCAAGGCCTTCAAAATTAATAAAGATAGATTGCATGTTGTCTTTTCCATGTGTATTAACAAAATTCATTATCAGTTAGTGTGTTTAAAGGTGGCTTCCTGCTACTTTAAATATATATGCTCTGGAAACATATAATACCTCTTGATTAATCAAGTCAAATCTATTTTAAACATTAAAATTTCTGGGAGAATAGTTGGATAGCTTCCCCATTTCAGAGACACTGTACCCCTTCTTTGTTCTTGGTCCTCCCTATTTCCCAGCACACTTAGAACTTTGCTGTGCTAAGAGAATTTGTAGCAGTTAATATTGTTCTAATTGCACTTCATTGTCTGTTCTCTTCTCACTTTGAATAGGCTCTCCTAAATAGCTTAAAGTTTACTTCCTAGATGATTTTTTTTTATTTCTATCCAGCCATTGATCTTCTCTAATAAACTAGAGTAGAGATCTCCAAACAGGATGGATTTATCCTAGGGGATATGTAGGACAATCAAAGTTCAGGAAGAAATATTTGAATTAAAAATTTTTTTTCTCATTTTAATTTCTGTTTTTGTATATCTCCCTATGTACATGATATATTAGTACAGCAGTATGGTAATACATGTTATAATTCATAAATATATGTGCATATAATGAGATGCACAGTCAAAAACATTCTCTTGATACAGATATGCTGTCTAAAACAGTATGAAAACCTCTGAACTGAAAGCTCCATTTGTTAAGATGGTTATCTTATATTTCCAGCCCACATTATAGTGGATACATCACACAGAAATAATTTTACAATGATTTTAAAGACCTGATATATGTCAAATAAGCAAATACGTATTTCTTGTATGTAAAAAAGTAACTTCATGAATGTGAGTTACAATTAATTGCTCATTAGCTAAACTATATAGACATGAAGTTGTAAACATGATAACTTACTTTTCATTTTGTTCAATAAGACTTCTATAGTTCAAGTGAATAGTATATGTAATATTACAGATTACCATATTGAAGGTTTCCAATACGGCAATATGTTATAAAATTTTGGAGTTCAGATTCTCCAGTCTGGTTTTATTTAGATTTTGAGAAAGATTGTTTTCAATTACATATCATTGGAAAAATTTAAGATTTATTGAAATATTGATATTATTAAATCTACTCATAAAGTATGATATAATTATGTACCTTATAAATTTTAATAGTAATTTTAAAGATCATAATGTTTGCAGTGTTTGATAAATTCATGATAAAACTTCACTTGACTTCTCTTCTGAGATATTTTATATTAATACATTTTAGTTAAAAACTTTAAAGTTTTATATAAGTTCATATATTCTTATTTTTTTCCATAGTGATAAAAACAAGAGAAGAACTAAAACAGTAAAGAAAACATTGGAACCCAAATGGAACCAAACATTCATTTATTCTCCGGTCCACCGAAGAGAATTTCGGGAACGAATGCTGGAGATTACCCTTTGGGATCAAGCTAGAGTTCGAGAGGAAGAAAGTGAATTCTTAGGAGAGGTATCGGGAGTTATTTTAAAGTTTCCACTATTCATGTCACCCTAAATACTTTTATGTATATGACTATTGGTAAAACTTATATTTCGAATATTTGAAAGGGTAAGCATAATTTATTTAATGAGACAAATTCAGCTATTGCTTTCAGACAAAATCTATTGATACCAAAGAAAACAATGGCTCTGAATACTCTATGACAATTCTTTACCTGCTAATTCTTATTATAGAAATCTCAGCATTGAATGATAAAAGTTTGGTTTCTATTTCACAAATATATTGCTTTGGTTTTTAGTGTTGTGTGTATCTTGTCAGTTTACTGAACCAACTGTACCACTAGTAAATAGTTCAATCATTTATTCATGGATTATTTTTTAAATCCTGTAATGTACCAGGTACTGTGCTAAGGACTGAGGTTTCAAAGTTGAATAACACTTATTACTTACTTCAAGGAATGTACAATTCACTGATGTTACAGACAAATGAATAGCAATTATAATAGAGCATACCAGTTGCTATAATGAGGAAAATGCAATAGGAATACATAATTGCTGAGCAGGGGAGAGGAGGTGGTTGAGGAAAGTCTCCACAAAAAGAGTGGAATTTAGCAAAGTCAAGGGGAATGAAGTCCTGCAGATGGAATAACAAGACATCGGGGGTGGGGAATCTTGGGCACCTGCATTGAAATTGGAAAGGAAAGTGGTAAGAAATGACACTTAAGGTTTAAACTGACACCAGATCACATTCCTTAATATATTTTATTAAGAAATTCGGATTTATCCTGTGAATAATGGGAAGTAATGATAGATTTTAAGAAAAGAGTGGTTTGATTACACTTATACTTGAGAAAAATACTTCCAGCTCTAACGTGGAAAATGAACTGGAGAGGGGCCAGATGGGATGTAGTTCTCCAGCTGTTAGCGTGCTAAGTTACCCACTTCCAACCTTTTTCAGTATAATTGCTTTTCCTGAGTATTTTAAATGATTACCATGAGAAAAACAATAATTCATAGAAATATTGGATTGAACATTGTCAGCTAAGGAACCAAAGAGTTTGATAAACCTATAAGCCATTTGGGAAGAAGGGTAACAGGGACTCTGGAACCAGCCACCTGTGTCTACATTCCTGGCAATACCGTTTCCTAACCTTGTGTCCTTGAGCAAATTATTTAACCTATCTGTGCTTCAGTTTGCTCTTCAGTCAATTGGAAATAATACCAGCATGCAACTCAGGGTTAATACTAGGGTTAAACAAGTGTGTTGTATTTGTGTAAACATTTGGAACAGTATTTCTGTGAAAGTAACTAGTGAAAATTTAGAAAAAGTGAAATAATTTAGCTGTTTTGCTTCTTTACCTCCTGTAGCTAAATAGTAATTTGTCTTTACATGGCAGTTCTTGTAAACACAAGTACAAACACTTTTACTTGCAGAATACCCTAAAAAAGAAAAGCCATTTATTTCTGCAGACTGATTATTTAAAGTTTTAAATATTCATACTATAAAATTCATATTTATAATATAGTTTACATAATCTATTCTTTTTTTCCCTTTCCTGTTTAGAATCCTTAGTTATAGCACTATATGATGAATAATGATTTAAATAAGACAGACTGATTCGTATTACACCTCTTTTACTTACGAGCTGGTGTGACCTTAAATGAGTTCTTTTAACCTTTTTTTGCCTTGGTATACTTAACTATAAAAATTAAATAGTAAGGACAAACTAGTACTTTTTTTACTGATGGTTAAGATAAATAACATATGGCATGGTTCTTAATATACAGTAGGCACTTCAAATTCGTTTTTTTATCCCCATTTAAGAATTCTTGTAAAGGTTAAATTAGTGACTGTAAATGAAAATGTTTCTTAAATTATCAACTGAAATTAGTTGTTATTACAGACTTTTAAAATAAAAAGTGTTATTTCTGTAATGGTAAATTTAACAGGCTCTAGGAGTTGGGTGGTCAAGGGCAACAAAAATGTCTTACATATTTAAAACTATAAAATCACTACGAAGTTATAAAAATTTATCTTTTATTTAGTTATTGCCAAGACATGTTGATAATTTTGCAACATCTAAATGACTTTTCAATCTAACAGCATTCTTATTATTATAAAAGTTATAAGATCATTTAAGAGAATTTTCTTATTATTGGTATATTATAACAGCCTTTTGTCTGTTTGACTTGTAGATTTTAATTGAATTAGAAACAGCATTATTAGATGATGAGCCACATTGGTATAAACTTCAGACCCATGATGTCTCTTCATTGCCACTCCCCCACCCTTCTCCATATATGCCACGAAGACATCTCCATGGAGAGAGCCCAACACGGAGATTGCAAAGTAAGTTTTAAGTAAAATTTATGATACTGTTATTAAATTTTTTTAATCGTGAATAGTATATCTGACATAGAATTTGAAGATACCATTATGAGTACTAACAGGCATTTCTCTTTTATTCTACTAATGTGGTTGATTGCATTGATTTTCAAATGTTAAAGTAATCTTGCACTCCTGGAATAAACTCAGCTAGCTCGTGGTGTATTACTATTTTATCTATCTCTAGATTTTGTTTGTTAATATAATCAGTAGGATTTTGGCATCTATATCCACACATGAGAGAGAGAAAGACTTTATTTTATTTTCCTGTTTTTATAATATCCTTGTTAGTTTTTGTTGTTAGTGTTATATTGGTTTGATTAAAAGAGTCAGAAAATGTTTTTTCTTTTTCGGTTTCATGTCTTTTCTTTTCTTATAATATCTTTGTCAAAAAAAATTGGTATTGATATTCTGATGGCCTCAAAAAATTTTTTTTGGAGGAATTCCCTCATTTTTCTAGTTGTAAAAATTTGTGTGTAATTGTATTATTTCTTCCTTAAATGTTTAGAAGTATTTACCACTAAAGTCATTAGACTGGGCAATTTCTTTGTATGTAGGTTTTATATTACAATTTCAATTTCTGTACTAGATTTAAAATTATTCTGACTACCTCGACTTTAAAATTTATATGGCAATATAGGTTACTTTCAAAAAACCACTTTGGAGTCTGTTTAACAACAGTGTGCTTTGCAGAATTTTCTCAAATAAAACGTTTTGAATAGAAAAAGACATAATAGTCTTAGATTAGTTAAACCTATAATGAAACCATAATGTTAAGATCATTCAAGATGTAAAAATGAGATAAAATTATAATTTTATCTTGGTGTTTTAAAAAAAGCTGTATATCACCATCATCATCAATATGGTGCATATTCTGTTTTACTGAAGACCCACTGTTACATGTAGAAACACTATTTCCAAGAATAAACTTTCATGATTCAGAGTTACTGTTAAAGAATATAAACAGCAGAGTGACTTAAAGTAGGAAAAACACATAGAAACACATAGAAACACATATATAGTCATTCTAAAATTTAGCTTTTGGAAATGTTACATTAGCATGTATTTTGAGTATGTGGGTCAATCAATAGAATACAAACATTAACATCCTAAATATTTTAATAAAAAAAAGACATTTAACGTGTTAAAAAGGTGTCTCCAAAGAATTTTAAAACTATTGACATCCTAAGAATAAATATTTTGGAAAAAAAGTTAATTGTCTCAGCATGTAAAATATTGTTTTAATACAGATATTTACATAGATTTACAATTGTGTTCAATGCTTTTGCTGAAGAAAATAGTTTGTTATATAACAATTCATTGACATCACAATTAAAAATTATGTATACTAGTTATTAAATCTATAGGGTAGCATGATATTTTTATTTATTAACTTTTAACACACCTCTGATATACCTTTTTGTAAAATTTTTGGCTACATACCTTGTGATCACTATGACGATTGATTGTACAAATTGTTTTTCTTTATAGTACTTTTACCTTTTGCTCTTTTCTCCTTAAAAAGATTGTTTTATCTTTGTCTCTTCTGTTGTTTCTATTTAATATATTTTTTGGATAATGAGATTCTTCATTATTGCAACCCTCAGAGTTTTTATTTTGTGTTATAAGAGTTTTGACATTTTGAAGCATCATTATCCTTTTATATGCTAAGTTAAGTTTATATCTTCCACTAGGATCATTACACCCCATTATAATTCAATTTCAGTGTGTCAGAAATTTTTATCTAGTGGTATACTGCCGGAGGCAATTATGTACATCTCTTCCCTTCACTTGCAGTGACATTATGTTGGTAACTTCAAATATGCCATATTGGAATGTTTACACAATGGAAATTGGCAAACATTACAAATCAAGGCTTTAGTTTTTCCAGAGAGGCAGTTGTTAAACCTTGACCAGCATGCCACTACCTTATACACAAAAATTAATTTCAGATTTAACAGAATTTAAATATAAAAATTTAGAACATTAAAGGGCTAGAAAAACAGAAATGAGCTCTAGATGAAAGCAATGGAAAGAAACTCAGAAGAATATCAATAGCTTTTTAAAATATGTAAATGAATATTTAAATATGTTTTAAATGAAAATGTTGTAAGGTAATTTTACAGCCTGATAATTACAGTGATACTAAGTGCAGGTCAAACATGATCATTATAGTTTGTGTTGGTTTTGTTGTTTTTTTTAAAATCGTAGGTCGACCTAGTTTATTCAGTTATCCTTAATTTATGAAAATGAATCCTGGTTAAATGTTACAATACTTAGAAAATTATTCAACTGTCCTATTTTTTTCTGTTTTAATTTCTGCTATTTCATACTTATGTCTACACTATACTTTCTTCAGTGTGGCCAGAAAAGAAGTTTGTGGGTTTTTTTCCTCAAAACAGTTTGTATGATTTTACCCCCGTGTATGTAGGTTACTAATGGGACAGATCAATCATGTGAAATAATGCCGTGTGAAATGGAGTCCTACTATTCCATTTGTTAAATAAAGTTTGAAATCATGTCATACAAATTCTAATCTTTTCATTAGAAAATGAGCTTTAGTAATACCCTGTGAATTTATTGTTTTATTTTCCTGTGATTTATCATCTTTATACTAACAATTTACACGTTAGGATAAACATTCACATTTTTCCATGTATTATGGCATCTTTCCATACTCTGGTATTTTTGTGGAATTGTTCATATTCATATATTTCCTTAATGTTTTAATGTATACTCAGATAATAATTTACTCATCTTCAATATGAAGACATTTTATGAAGACATCCTTCAATATGAAGACATATTTTACTACCTTTTTTAACTTCGTTTTTTATATATAGAAAATCTAATTTGTATACCGTTAATTTACTTGTGATAATTTCTACATATTTTTTTATCAGCTTAGAATGCCAAGATAACTGTTTCCTATAAATTTTTAAAGTTTGCCTTTCTCTAAAAAGAAATCAGTTTTAAAGTGTTTTTTCAAAGGATCTTTCTACTTAAGTTCACTAGTTGTTTCTTGCATGCTAAATTTCTGCCTAATAAATGTTTTGCATTTCATATGTATAACCATGTATTGTAACATAAAATTGATAATCATTAGTATGTAGGGCAATCTTATTTTTTATTTTATTTACCTTCTCTTACTAAATTCTGCTCTCTCAGCCTATAATTCTTGCATTTAGTCTGTTTCTTTTAATGTAACTTGTAATTTAAATTTTTTACTAATTCAGATATGATTTGTCTTTTTTTCTTATTTTATTCTTAATTAGTATGGCCTTTTACACTTTTAGAATAAAATTGCTAAATTATACAGTATGTACTGTACAGCAGAAATTAGAATTCAACATTCCTATTGCATGTAAAGATTTTTAAATGTATTTTTGACATCACTTTAACATTTTATTCCAGATAAAGACTTACGTTCATATAATTCAGGTAAATTTTAGCATGGGCAATGTTTAATGCATGTATTTATATGCACAGTTTAATTGGTTTTGTGGTTTTTGTGCTTTGTTTGCTGATGTGCATATGTTAAATTTCTAACCAGTATGCCTGCAGTTTCCCTTTTCTACCAATAGAAATTTTCCAGTATGTTCATATTTACAGCTTTATTATTTTGGTATTAAAAACCACTTGTTGAAATATAGTGATTTATGATTTCAGTGTGTCCAGTATTGTCTCCTTTAGTATAGTATTATTTTATCAATGAACCATCTTTCAGTATATACTCTGTTATTATGTACAACTGTTTCAGAAAATTTGAATTTAAATGGATATAACTTACAATGTTTTTGACTTATGGGGGTTGGTTTTTAAAATTCTAAACACATTGAATTAAATCATAAGTTAAAATATAATGTTTGCTGTAGTTTTCAGCATTTTAGCAATTTGGTCCTATATTCCAAGGAAAACAGAATAGACTTAGTATTATTAGTATAATGTATTATGACTTTTATATTCACACATTCACAAAGTATATATTTCATGATACCCTAAACTGATGTTAAATTTTTTAACTTGTCACTTGGACTTCTTTTGTTTTTAAACAATTTTTATTGGAAAATATTTTAAATATGTTTAGCCCACTAAGCCTTTATATTTTTTAAAAATTGTCTTGCCCGAAATTATAAAACTCCTAAAAGAAAACATAGGGAAATACTTCAGGATATAGGATTGTGCAAAGACTTTATGAATAAGATCCCAAAAGCACAGGCAACCAAAGAAAACATAAAAAAAATGGGATTATATCAAATTATAAATCTTCTGTGCAGCAAAAGAAACAATTAACAGAGCGAAAAGACAACCTACAGAATGGCAGAAAATATTTGCAAACTATGCATCTTACAAGGGATTAATATCCAGAATATACAAAAAACTGAAACAACTCAACAATAAGAAAACAAGTAACCCAATTAAAAAATGGGCAAAGAAACTGAATAGACATTTCTCTTATGAAGATATACAAACGGCCAACAGACACGTGAAAAAATGCTGAACATCACTCAGCATCTGGGAAATGCATATCAAAACCACATTGAGATATCATCTCACCCCAGTTAGACTGGCTGCTACCAAAAAGACAGAGAATAACAAATGCTGATGATGATGTGGAGAAAGGAGACCTCTCCTATACTTTTGGTGGGACTGTAAATTAGTGCAACCATTATGGAAAACAGTATGGGGGTTCCTCAGACAGCTACAGATAGAACTGCCATATGATCCAACAATCCCACTGCTGGCTATATGCTGAAAGGAATGGAAATCATCATGTTGAAGGGATATCTGCACTCCCATGTTTGTTACAGCTCTATTTATGATAGCCAAGAGTTGGAATCAACTTAAATGTTGATCGACAGATGACTGAATAAGGAAAATATGGTATATATACTCAATAGAACACTACTCTGCCTTAAAAAAGAATGAAATTCTGCCATTTGCTGCAACATGGATGAACATAG